TAATTTCCAGTTGGAAGATTATCAAATTGATTCTGAACTTAAGTAGCCCTGTGGGTGCACAGTCATTTACTGCCAGATTACRTGAAGTACACTGATTACTTCAAATTATAAAAGTCTTATTTTTGTTAATAAACAAGTTTACCTTTATTACTAAATACATACTTTGGCTAAAATTTTCTAACTACTACAGCCATCTTGTATTCAGGTATCATCTGTCATAAAAAAGTTAAACCACCCTTACAAATGGAAATAGTAATTACATAGAATGTATATAAGGCACCATTTTGTGTATCATGTATGAATTACYCCAAGGATAAGTAGGGTTTGGATGACTGGATTCAATTATATCCCACACATACAGTCTTATAAAAAAATCCCTTAAGAGAATTTTGCAAAAAAATTTAATGGAAATTTGTTCACAAAAATCATGGTCTCACACAACAACAAACATCTAAATTTTCATTTAAATTTCCCAAGTTCAGCAGAACCTCTTGGTTACAGGCAGCTCTGATTGCAAGACAATCCATTATACACACAGAGACAAAAGTAATCTAAACTTACAGTGAACAAGCAACAGATTTTCAAAAATCAGACTCTGACTTCTAACAAAGGATAGCTTCACAAAATACACTAATGTAAGCAACAAAAATACTACTGAGGAGTCTCAGCAAGGCAGGCACTCCCAAACCTTACACACATTTTCAGAAAAGCACCAGAGCTGCTCTGATTAATGACATTATAAAGCATCAATCCTTAATCGTAAGGCTTAAGAACACCTAACCAAATTCAAAAATTAACCTGTCAGATTATGTCATAAATTACTGCTCACAAGTATGTTAATCAAAGTTTGGGTAATTTCATCCTTTTTACATTATTTCCCCTTCTCAATTACAGTGGATCCTGATTCTTTTGGTGGGAGAAGACAGGGCTAGCTGCACTAGAGACCAGATTAACMACTTCTCATTTTTCACCTGTGCTTCCCCATGAGAGAATTTTTGCTGCCAGTGAATATTGCCGTTTTTCACAATCTTACACTGAGGGTTTCTAGACTGCACCTGCAGGCCCCAACCTACAGAGACTGCAGTGTAAACACTTTCCAGGAGCACCTGATAAAACATAATATTGGTCAGGTCCCCTAGGAAGAGTTTGTACCAGAGAGAGCCCCAAAATGATAAAGAGCTCTGCGGTGCTGGAAATATGGTAGGTGTGTGGGAGCGTAGGGCTGTGTGTGGCAGGGACAGAGTCCTTCCCCAGTGGAAATATAACTGGATGCTTTCACTTTTTTTTTTTTTTTTTTTTTTTTCATTTCTTTATTAAAATATGAACATGCCTCTGTCTCATATATATTTCATAATGAGCAGGGTAAGGAAATGAGAAATCCAGAGGCAATGCATGAGAAAGGATCCTTAACATTCAGATCTCAGTCCTGCTCAAATTGGAGCATTTGTCATGCCCACTGTGGTGATATCATAATCTGTGCACCAAATAACAAAATCTCTTTCAGGAATGAGTACAGTACTGCACCAAACATGGTTCAAAACAGATTAAACTTCCCCARTGGCCTGAAGGCCTATTAGGTTTCTTGTCACTTCTCTGTGTTTTTATATTAAATACCTACAAGAAATTCATATTTGTCACAAATAATCACATCCTTATCCATCACCAGAGAAAATTGAATATAATCCTGAATAAAAGGAATAAAAGTTCTTTCATCATGCATAGAAAAGGAAAGACTAAATGTTCTTTCTAGGTTTGTTTCCTTCTTAACACAGATGTTGTGATTTAGCTTTTTTTTTTTTTTTTTTTTTTTTTTAAAGAAACCATATTACATGATATATGTGCACTGAAAAGCTATCTATTCCGAATCTCCAGCATGCTGAACAGTTGTATGAAAACTCTGGGGTCTCTCCTGGAAACCCCATCCTTCTTTTTCACTACCAAAACCATTAATTTTCCCTCATCATTTGCAGAACACAAAACAAATATGGGACTCCACCAATGATGGGGCTCAGGGTACAATTCTGAGGCACTGGAGCAATGGGGTGAAGTTGTGCTTATCCAAGGACCACAAAGTGGTATGCCTTAAAAACACTGCGAGAAATGTGACATAGTATGTGACATAATACACACGAGTAAAGACCCAGGAACAAAGGCAGAAGCAGATATAGGTAAGAAAAAATCAGAGAAGGAGAAGAAAGGTTAAACTCTGCTCAAATTATTAGCTCTCAGGAGACCAGGAGTGACGCAAACCTAAAGGACTGAAAACAACTTCCAAGTCCCTGAGCTGAGACTAAGCTGGTCAAGCTCTTTGGTTCCCTTTTCCTTGGGGAAAAGGGATCCTTAAACAAGAGGAAAAGCATAAGGTTCAGTCTATCAAACCTGATGCCTCGAATTTCCTGAAGGTGAACACAGCCTCCTGCACGCTCAGCAGGGGCTGCACATGAGGCACAACATCTCCTCGGGCAGCTCAGCACAGCCCTGCACATCTAGGCACCATCACCCTTTATAGCTCAAATGTATAGCTCAGTGAAGGCAGAGGATAATCCACTTTTACCTGGAAGCAAATGAAAAAAAAAAGAAAAAAAAAATCTTATTTCACTGTGCGCTACCAGAATATTTCAAATGAAAGAGCGTTTGAGACAAATAAATAGCAAGGCGAGGGGAAGGAAGCCTTTATTGTTTGAAGGTTTCTTGCCACCAAGGGGGGGGAAAAAAAAAAAAAAAGTTTGAGAAGGAAGCCTTTGTGTGCACTATGTACAGAGCTGGAAAAGAAGAGTGGGAAGACAGGAGCTGCTTGAAAGATTTTTCTCAGACACTGAAGGGAAAACTTCAAAAAATAATAATAAAAAAAAAATCTACAGAAAGCAAAGGCTTACATCTTCCCTAAAAAAAGAATCCTCCCCAGTACCTGAAGTTTAACAGGACAGTGAAAAAATTGTAGGCCCCCTGAAATACTGAAGGAAGTTTTTATTTAAAGGRTAAGTGAAATAGATAGCTTGAGAGGAAAAGTATAATTTAGGACTGAGCTCAGACAAGGAATAAATTCTCCAAGAGAAATGAACCCAGAAACGAAATGAATAACAATGAAGAGCTAAGCTGTGGTACATCAACCAGGAAACTCTATCAGCCAAACCAATTAATTTAACCAGTGCCAGGAGGTATTTCACACACAGGAATGCCCTACAAGTCAGCTCAGGGTGCAGACACACACATTCTTTGCACTGACCTTAGGGCTTCCTCATCCTGTTACCATGAGCCATCTAGATTGGAGGTCATTTGTGTACATACCTTGTATTCTGACACACAGGTTCATCACAATCTAGCCTAAAATACTCCTTGCCACACTGACATCATTTGTTGAGCGTTCACAAATGCTTCAAGTTTTGTTTTATTGTAAGATTACATGCCTTTTATTTGGATGCTTGCTTTCTTCCAGAGTCACATCTGCTCACACTTACCAGATTTATTCCTGCCAAGTCCAAGAACTCCACTTTCAGCTGGACTTGTTTGCTCTCCTCAGCAACTCCTAATTAAGCTGCTTTTCTTTGTGTTTCCACACACCAAAAACTCACCTTCAAAACTACCTTCTTATACACATTTCTATTCATTAAGATTTCTGAATCACCATAATCAACATTTTAGGAATAAAAGTACTTACCTATTACAGAGGCATTTATTAGCACCCTATGTGGTAGTAAATAAGTATAAAATTTACCATAATGCAATACCATAAAAGGCTCAGAACACTTTCTTTAAGTAGTATGGCCTGAGGGAATTAAAAAACTGGAGTGTCTCTGAAATCAGCAACATTTATTATATTAATCAGTGGGCTTCAACTTATGCCTCAACTTGGTACCACTGGGAATAACAAGCAAGAAACACATAACAAGCAAAAATAAAAGARGTCTTATACACAAAGCTGTAACAACGAAGGAAAGAAATCACTTCATTTCACAAAATTCTCCTCTGTTCCTGGGAAAGAAAGGCTACCTTAATTGATTGTCTGGGGACGGAGTACAAAGGCAGGAGAAATTACCGAAATTGTAKCTATCTTTCTTGGGAAGAAAAGAAAAGGTTCAGGAACAACTGTTGCTCCTGTGCTTAGAGACTGCTTCCCACCACTGGGAAAACTGGCACCATGTACTTTYTGGAATACCATTTACCTTATGACTGCCCCAAGGAGATCAGAGGCATGGCCATGACCTTGGCCTGTCCCCTATGGAATGCCCTGTGGAAGGTGAGCGTTCCAGTGGCACGAGGGTCTGCRTCCTGTATGGTGAGCATTAGGCTCAGAGCTGGACCACTGCTTGGGAGGCACAAACTGTCCCCCCAGAGTGGCCAGCTGACCCAATAAAGACTTGCTATTGCTCCTGAACCCCTCCTTTCATGAACATTAACTGCATGTACAACAGCATGTCTTTACAAGGAGGAGACTTTAGGAGTGAAACATACTTAAAAGTTTGGGATTCACAGTAATTACTGCAAAAATAATTTCCTTTTAATTTGAATCCTATTTTAACTAGAAATTCAAAATCTGAATCAGTATTTCAATCTTCTTAAAAGCTTATGAGTTTAGAATGAATATTTCAGTTCACCAACTTTAGCCACCAATTTGCCCAAATATCTTTATTAAAGATGAATATAATATTAATTAAAATAATATTAAATAATACTTTAAATTCCATTTTTTTGATAATTCTTACGGCCAAATTCTGCCTCTAGTATTCCACAGATATTACTAAAATTTCTAAATATTACTAAAATTTCTAAATAAAAAGATGTGACCTAAAACCCTCAAAATGACAGCAGATATACACAAAATGACTTAGCATTTCTCACAGGTGTCATGACCTACTGAATGCACCAAACAGGAAGGAAAAAACGAAGAAAAAAAAAAAACTATAATCCACATGTGTTGTGAAGACAGTTGAGGTGATCACAGCATCCCCAGTTTGCAGCAAATTAAAATACTAAGCTAAAACAAACCCAATTTCACTGACCTTGTGGCATTTTCTGTTGGCACACTAACAAGCTCTCTTCCCAGATGTGCGCTGCATAGCTTGCAACCAGGAGGTAGAGTCTAGATTCTTCTTATTCAGTCAAAGATTGCACTTTCCATAAACTATGTAAAAAAAATCTTCAATCAATGGTGGAAAATTTGGGCAAAACTGAATTATTTGTTATCCTTTGTTATCCTGGTGAATTCTGATCATCTATCAAGTTAATTTCCATTTGTGGCTCTGAATAACCTGGAAAAGAATAGAGCAGAAATATTGCAAGGTCAGTGATGTTCAGAAGATACAGTTTTATAGATAGTACTCTGGAACAAAAGTCTACAAACTGCTGAAGCACACAGAAGAAATGAAAAGCACATGCAGTTTCCTATATTTCGAATACTATCYCTCGATTAAATATTTTACAGGAATCTTAATGTTCTGTGTTACTATTAGTCGGATTTTCTAATTATCAGTAGAACTTAAATCTCTGGACAGAGTAAACAATCTTTTTCTCTGAACAAGTTTGCATTTAATTAGTTTATTGCATGTGTTCATTTCTATGCATAATTAATCATATACTGATCTTTTTTCACATCAGCAAATTTCACTACTACGTTGCTATTTATATTTGAATTATGTCTTGATTTTGTTCTTCTATTCATATGTGCACTCTATATTAAAAAAATAATACTAGGGCCGTTTCAATTTTGGTTCTAATTTCYGGCACTAGTTCAAAATAACAATTTATAAAACACCAAATGTATTACACATCCTGAACTTCGATAAATGATGCTAAGGAAATACAATTATGTACACTAASTGTCCATTTTCTCACATAAAAAATCCACTACATCATTTGTCACTACTGGAAATGTTCATGAGAAAATCGTGTCCTTACCAAAGCCACCAGCAGATTTCAGTGAGCGCAGAACTAGCAATTTCTGTGTAGCAGTTTTTCTCCTCCTACAGAGCAGTGATGCTGAAGGTCATGTTTGAAGCTTCCCAGTACTGTTGTGTAAGCAGTTGGAGCCAGCGTGCAAATTATCTACACAACTAACTGTGATTTAATTTTACATCATGATGACTTTATGAACACTTAGTTGTAATCTTGATTTCTACTCTAGCTTCTGCAGTTTCAGTTTCAATCACATCAGCTTTCAGTGTCTGAATATCCTTCTGTTGTCTTTGCTTATGCTGTACATAAAGAAAAAGGTCCTTAGAGCTTTATCTAAAATGTGAAATAGGTTTTACAGCAGTTCCTTGCATTTCTCAGAAATACAATTATTAATTAGACATAAATTCATAGGSAACTGCAGCTGAGAGCTATCACTTATATTTACCTGGAGTTATTTACTTGCCTTTCTTGTAGCAAACAGACGAATGGAGGATAACTGCCATTTATTCTTAATGTTACACTTAGAAAACCTCCCTTGCACACTGCAAGGAAGCCTGTGGCTAAGTCAGCCTGYTGCACACCAGTGATCAGTTCCTTTTGTCATCCTGGAACATCAATCTAACGCTGAAAGAAAATAATTTGAATTTATAAATGGTGAAATCTCTGAGCACTGAATAGCCTTAGATCTGCTTTCCCCAGATGTCTTCTTTATAGGCTTAGTAAGAGAGTTTTTGAGATTCTGAACCATGAATCACAGTCTYGTTCACAGAAGATCTATTTTGGGGGAGTACATAAACACTTTGACTGACACTCTAATATTCGGTTTTACATGTTGACTCCTTTGTCCATTATTTAAGATAAGGCAACTCACACTGAGATTCTTCTTGTTGTTCTCAGCAGATTATAAATAAACACAAAATGAATACAMACGGGAAAAGATAACTCCTTGTACTGTTTAGGTTTCAAAAACAGAAGAAAACACGGGATTTCCATCTTAGAAAACTTTGCTAAAACATTATTTTCATCTGTATTTAAGAACTTCTGAAAATAAGGAGATCTGAAAGTATGTCTGACATAAACATAATCAAGTTTTACTTAATTTACATATCTTGTAATACCTTAAAAAAAAAAAAAAAAAAAAACCTAAATAGCTCACACTAGATTTTACTGTAATTTAGAATTTGGATTTGTCCTGATGTGATACAAAACTTGGACAGAGCAGTGAGCAGAAACATTCAAAAGCGCAGGTAAAAGGAACTTTATTTGCTTGGGCAATCCCAGGAGGCTGCAATAATCCAATGGATGGGGAATTAAGCAACTCTGGTCATGAAAAGAGAGCAGATAAATCCCTGGGGTTTATGAGACAGTTCTTTCTCTGTGTGCTGTTGTGCCACGAAGACAGCACACAGGTTAAGCTATGGAAGAAGGAGGCAAAGGCAGCAGCCACCTCCCAGCGAGTGCAATCCAGTGTAGGACACCYCTCCACCTGCCCCATATAATTTCAGTAACTCAGCCCTCTCCCCCCTCACCTTTCCCTTTAGCAATTGGCACAGACCTCGGAAAATGTCTTCTCTTCCTCTCCTTGGCCAGGACCAATTGCAACCAAGACGGACAGTAACTTCTTCCACACAGAGCAAAACCATTCTTTAATTTCTGAATATGGAAGAAATTCTTGACTTTGTACGGTGTAACTAGCAAGCTATTTAGAAACAGCAGGAAGTAAATCGTGATAAAAGCTACATGCAACTAAGGTTTACCTGAAAATGGTAACTCTGGCCATCAAGTTCCCAGAACAGATAGCAGTACTTCTGCTGCTAAGTGTGAAAATTTCTTGTAGATTAGATGAAAAAATTTACTTTCATGTGATCAAAGAACACTCGGGTTCATATTTTACAGGGACAAGGACAGTGAGATACATTTATCTTTTACTTAATTTTTTAAATTCCTCTCTATATTTGTTAAAGGCTATTGCTGTCTCGACTGTCTCTTCAAGAAATATTCTCCCAGTGCAAAGTTAGATAAGCAATTTGCTTACAATAACTCAGTGATCTCTATTCCAGCTGTCAGGTGCTCCTGAAATTACAACAACACCAGACAAGGACTTTGCCAGAATTACCCAAACCCGGTATTTTAAGTCTTAATATATTAGAGGCATCTCTAGCACTTTGAGCCTGCCATAGTGGAAACTCCTGACTCCAAGTCTTACTCCACTACACAAGATAGGCAGAGCAACCCAAACTCTCTGCAGAATTRCTGCAGGTTGTTTGGCCTTCAGCCAGAAGTGACAGCAGCCTTTTGATGTGCACTTCCCTTTACCTGTCTGCTCTAAAAGACAGGCTTTTTGGAAAGCTTTAAAGTAATCTTTCTTACCAGTATTCAAGCAGCCATAATAAGACAGACGTCCCTTCACCAGTGAGCAGCTGAAGCTATTACAGTGTCTTGTGCTTCCCTCTTGAAATATGACATAGTCGATGCGACACAACTTTCTATAATACAACCATCAGCTGGAGTTTGAATCAGCTGAGCAAGGCAGAAAAGGTGTACCTTGGGGGCCAGACAGCAGTACTATAAATTTCACCTCATTTTCTTAACTTAGTATTTCTGATCATTCAGGCATCCTAGAAAGACTATGCATATTAACAACAAAAAMTACAGAGTTGGATGGCATTTGAATACATGAATCAACACAAGAGTTAGTGAGTTAGTATTCCCACTAATTCCCCTTTCCTTCCTCTATTCTTATTCTCTCAACRAAGAAAACAAGATCTATAGGCGAGTCATACATTACTAGGGAGGAAGAATTAAAAGCTGTGTGGCTGCAAGGCTAAGATTAGATAAGGTGAGATATCTGGAAAATGCCAGTTGCAAGTGCCACCTACCAGACAATTCCTGCCAGTAGGAATCATGACAGAGGGAGAAGACTAAGCAGAACACCTGTAAGTGAATAAGCAAGAGTTTGCACAACGCTCAGCAAAACAGATCTTTCTGTTCCAACTCTGAGCACAGGTTTTGGCAGTTTCTGTTACAAATATGCAAGCTGAGGTGCACACACAAGCTTTCGTGCATGTATAGCCTTCAACAAAACRATCAAGAGTGAAATCTGTAACAAAAATCAGCAAGATTGACTGACATATTCACTGGCAAACATATTTTTCTTGCACTTTGCCTGCTATGCTGAACTGAATTTTTGACGTTACTAAATTGAATGTCTAATTTGTTTGGCTATGAATAAATAATTTGTTACTGAACTATTTTTTACTTCTCGTAGGTTATATAACAAAAAGAACTGGGATGTTTTGTTGATAGACTTTCTTTAAAATGTCCTAAGTCAAAAAAAACCCCCAACTTCTTGTAGTCCRTAGTGGCCATATCACAGACTTTTGGCTGAAACTAACATTGGTTCTGCACTCTGATGAGYGGCATTGGGAAACCCTTGAGTGAACAAACACTAGCTATTCTTATGCTAGTGATTCTTATGGTAAATATAACATAAAACTGTAAAGACAYTATACTAACATGAAAAGATCGATACTCTAGTAAATTTCTTTTGACTGTAATATTTGATTAATACAATTCTGAATAAATTGTTTAAAAAAATCCCTATATGTGTTCCATCCCCATTTAAATCTGGTTACAAAGATTAAAGAAAAACATATCTTTAATCTTAGCCTGAATATTTTATGACATTTGTTAATTCAAATCACAAGATTTCTGTCAAAAATAACCATTTCTAATTAAGCTCTGGAAGTCATTTTCTGCAGAAGCTGAGTTGATCTTCTGCAATGTTATGGCTATTTTACACGGTTCTTGGGTTCTTCTGGCTATCACTTCATATAAATAACATTTTTTTTCCCAAGGCATCATTGCTAGCTGCTGTTCCTGTATGATACAGTACTGTGGGTTTGCATTGACAAAATTTCAAAGGTTGYAGCCTTTGCAAAAACAAGTTATGTGAAAACACGCAATTAAACAAAAAAACAAAGAAAAAGTACAATCTTTTTCTTCTCATCTTTTCTTCATTTAAAAATATTTGATCCATTAAAGAACACCATAAGGTAACCCTGAAGAGTAATTTCTTTCTTTCCTTTGCCAAGAGGAATGGCAATTATCAGTTATCATCCATCTTGACTTTTTACTAGATCCTCYACATCTTTCCAGCACTCCAACAAACACAAAGTTTCTCTCCTTGCACTCAGTAAAYAAAAAAACTGAGATAT